TTATCTGGATTATCCAAGATATCCGCCGCAAAAAGATTGTGATTTCTCCTGAATTTGGTTACATTTCATTTGGCGGTTTTGAATGGAATATAGTAAGGCTGTATTCTATTCATTTATACAGTTTTCTGTTCTGATATGCCTCTTTTTTTCAGTGAAGGCAGAGGATGGAGTAGGTGGCAGAGGAGGCTGGTGAGTTTACATGGAACACTAATGACATATTTTAGATTATTTTAAAGTATTATGTTTACATCTTCCACTTCTTTTGTAAAACTAGTTAATACCATTCGCAAAGTCTTGCCTATAGTCTAGTAAGTAGCAGTCACTTTAGATGTGGTTCAGTTTAACACGAGGCTGGAAGCGGGAGGACAGTTAATTCACCTACACTCGCTTAACCAGGAAGTAGGGATGGGCGTATCGATATTTCGTTATCCGTCGGTCGATATTTTGGAGTCGATACTTTTTTTTAAGTATCGCGATACCACTGTGGTACTACAAAATGTGCAATTTGTTTTCACTTCTGAATGTTTTAGGTATTACATTTATGTGTGAAAACCAGCCCGATCGTGTTTTATATGTCACATGAGAATATCGAGGGACGGGTGACAGTTGATGTGTCATAAGTGATTTAAAAATTGAATGAACTAGAAAAACAGACACATGTAAAATGAAGTTAGATTTCAGCTTTAAGTAATGTCCACATTACAACAAAATTCAGTGCACATGCAAGGTGCATAAGCGTCACCTTTGCAAGGCTGTACAACAACCACTGCACCAGCGGATGTCACCCACGTGCTCAGTGAATGATGCTTCCAGTATTGAACCAATTTTCAATACAATGGTCCAAAAGGGTTCAAGAAAAGCTTCATGGGGCCTCGTATGGCCATTACTAGTTCAAATTTCAGATTACAAGATGAAGGCCACTGTAATGCCGATGTGTTGGACAGCTCTTCACTTTCATATCATGAGTTTATTGAAAGGTACAATGATTTATGTCCATTAAATATCAGTTGTCATGATATGAGACAAGGTATCATTTAGGTAGTTTGTCCTAATATTATGATCTCAGGTACGATTGTGCTTTTGAGATCCAAGCAGCTTCAGCACAGTTACTGTAGGTATTGTCCACCTTTCTGAGTTGAACAGGTGTTGTATGTTGTACAGCCCAGAGTGAAACCTCCACATTTTTAGTTTTCATTTCCACTTTGCTCTAAAGACTAAGAACAGCCTTTTTTTTTTTTTTAGTCTCTGAGTCAACTCTGTAGGCGTGTGACCTCAGCTCTGTCTGTCAGTCTTGTTACGTGTAATGTGAGCAGTGTTGTAGTACTTGACTCCAGGTCTCAAACTCAAGTCTGACTCGAGTCCAGATTTTCAGGACTTAGCTTGGACTTGAGCACTGGAGACTCAAGACTTGACTCGGACTCAAGGTTTAGTGACTCAACTACAGTACAACACTGAGTGTGAGAAGCAGGGAAGTGTAAACCCACATGTTGTGATTGGTGCTAATAGCATGAATGGATTTCTTTTCCCTGTCTGGGACAGGTGAAACTATGGCTGTAGCTGATGTGTCTAGACTCAGTACTGCTGATGAAGAGAACTGCTTTTTCCATTTTTAGATATGCATACAACAAACCAGTCATCATCAGGGGCCTAACTGATAACACAGTAAGTATTTAATAACTCAGTTAAATCTTATTATTCTCTCAAATAAATCAAGAGATGTGTATGGTAAATGCTTTATTGAAATATTTGCTCTTATTTGAGTTTTTTTTTTATTATTTATAAAACAATCAGGAAAAATTCACCCTCTCACTTTGAATCGAATGCATCCACTTAATGGTTATTAAAGGAGTTTTGTGAATTTTGGTGCATGTGCACTTTGCTGGTATCTCAACATGACCTCACACTCTATAACGGGACCGGAAATGCACATTAAACAGGTGATATTAAAAAAATCTGTTAGAGGGAGGATTTCTCCTTGAACGGTTTCAGCATGTGCACAGTGTAGAGTGCAGTCTGTTGGTGTCAGCACAGTGACACGTTTTTCATTGTATTTGAGTTGAAAATGAAGCAATGATCCTGACCATGTATTTATGAGATGACTACACTTTTCATCTGGGTGTCAACACCCTCACAGTAAAGCTGAGAGTTTGTTCTGACAACACAACAAAAATTGTCCTGGCCCATTCACACTGTGCTGTAATAGAGTAGTGAGCATAAAACTGGAGCTGAACAACAATAAACTCACATGTTTTTTTTAGAAATTCAGGTTGTTGTGTTCCAAGTCAAGCTTACTAGAAGAATATGGCGACCGGACAGTGAGGCTCAGTACAGCTAACACTTATTCTTACAGGAAAGGTATGCATGCCTAACAGTAGCCCTTGTATGCAGCAGGGATTTTTTTTTAATTTATATGTTTATACAGTATTTGACTGCTAACCACTGACTCATCATGAATCATTTGTTCCAGTGGACGTCCCGTTCCAGGACTATGTGAATATTTTACTGAGGCCTCAGTCTGCAGACGCCCTCGGCAGTGGTAGGTTAAACCCTCATCTCTCACAGGAGGTCTGTTTACAGCAGAGAGGACCGGCACAAACATTTCTGGGGCTCTAAGCAGAGTCTGATGTGTTAAAATGCTTCATATACAGATTTGTATATGGTGTATATGGGCCTGAGTCAAAATAAACAATATTGTGTGTGTTCATGGGGTTGAAGGAACCACTGGCACAGTGGTTAGCGCTGTCGCCTCACAGCAGGAAGGTTCTGGGTTCGAGTTTTTAAAGATAGAATTATTTTTAAAATGAAAAGGATTCATCCTCTGAGGACCAGGAAGTGATGCCAGAAATATCAGAATAATAAACAGACAAATTAACTTGAAATATAAAGAGTGTGTTTTGACCAGAGAGCGATGTTGGTCGAAAAGTCAATCAATAAAAAATGGAGAACATGAATATGTCAACTAATACATTTTTATATCTCCAATTGACTTTTTAGCAGATTTGTTATTTTCTTTCTCCATGTTTCTTCTACAGACACGCTGTATTTCTTTGGAGACAACAACTTCACTGAATGGCAGAGTCTGTTCGAGCAGTACAAGCCTCCGCCGTACGTCCTGCCTCACACCAGTGGAGCGTACAGCTTCGGAATTGCAGGCCAGTGTCTGTTGTGCACAGCCCAGAGGTGTATGATCAGTTAATTAACATAAAATAACTGTAAACGCACATGAAGAAGTCAGCCAGCTAGTGACAGAGGCAGACTTCAAGTACTGTACAGTATAATGTAATGACAAATAAAGACAAGTAAATAAAATGTTGTATAAAAGCAGAAAAAAGAATGTAAAAAGGAAAAGGTGTATTATAAAACTTCATACATTATTTCTTAAAAATAATAAGATAATGCCTTGCTTTACATGTCTATAAATTCCATTTTATTTCCAAATAACCTCTTCAGAATCCTTCTATCATTTGGTGCTATAGATAAAATAGAACATGCTCAGTAGGTACATTTTAAATGATGATAGCAGGTGAGCTACTAACACAAAATGCAAACAAACATGAACAATGAATGGAAATGAAAATTTCCTAAAAAGAAATGAATATAAATAAATATTCACTGGGGTTTAAATGGAGCACATTCTTTTATGGAAATTGTTCTGGAAGTCATCAGCATCAAGCATCTTGAACATAGTAAAGTGTTTTATTAAATTAAATCAAAAATAGAATAATTTTTTGTTTAAAAAAGAACAGTGTTTCATTTACAGCAACTCAATGGAAATCATAAAATTACATCTCAAATATCAGAATATTGATTAGATGAAAAGCACCAACTGTAGCCGGTTTGTTTGTCTGCAGGTCCTGGAACAGGAGTGCCCTTTCATTGGCATGGCCCTGGTTATTCTGAGGTCATCTATGGCAGAAAGGTAAAACTCTTTTGCTTCCTTTTTGGCATTTTGGTTTATTAAGTCCTAAACTGGTTCCCGAATTGCTTACCATTTGTCTATATAGAAGCCATCAGGGAATGTTCTGGAGTCATGGTTATGTGCAGCTGATTGTTTCCTCTGCTGACACCCGAAAACGAACTGTCAGCTGAGCTTTATAAATTTGTCTTTTAATTCATTTCTTGGCCCACAGCGCTGGTTCCTCTATCCGCCTGAAAAAGAGCCAAATTTCCACCCGAACCACACCACCCTGTCCTGGGTGAAAGAAACCTACCCTCACCTACTGGAGGAAGAGGCTCCGCTGGAGTGCACCATCAGACCTGGAGAGGTAACAACACCCAGTGTGGGTCAGGTCGAGTATTTATAGACTATTAGAGTGGGTTTATAGTTTATAGCTCAAAAACAGCTCCTCATATTGATCTCCTCACATACTTTCATTCATTTAGCATTCAAGCTCTTGCACAAGTTACAGCACCACCACCAAGAAAAGTTTTAACAAGCCGAAAAAAACCTTTTATCAGTTTTAATGAATAATTTTGCACGCCCAATTTTTCAGTTTTTTATTTGTTAAAAAAGTTTGAAATATCCAATAAATTTCGTTCCACTTCATGATTGTGTCCCACTTGTTGTTGATTCTTCACAAAAAAATTACAGTTTTATATCTTTATGTTTGAAGCCGGAAATGTGGCAAAAGGTCGCAAAGTTCCAGGGGGCCGAATACTTTCGCAAGGCACTGTAGAAGCGATCAGGGAATGTTCTGGAATCAGGGTTATGTGCAGCTGATTGTTTCCTCTGCTGACACCCAAAAACGAACTGTCAGCTGAGCTTTATAAATTTGTCTTTTAATTCATTTCTTGGCCCACAGCGCTGGTTCCTCTATCCGCCTGAAAAAGAGCCAAATTTCCACCCGAACCACACCACCCTGTCCTGGGTGAAAGAAACCTACCCTCACCTACTGGAGGAAGAGGCTCCGCTGGAGTGCACCATCAGACCTGGAGAGGTAACAACACCCAGTGTGGATCAGGTCTAGTATTTATAGACTATTAGAGTGGGTTTAGAGTTTATAGCTCAAAAACAGCTCCTCATATTGATCTCCTCACATACTTTCATTCATTTAGCATTCAAGCTCTTGCACAAGTTACAGCACCACCACCAAGAAAAGTTTTAACAAGCCGAAAAAAACCTTTTATCAGTTTTAACTTGCTACAGATGAGTTTTGAACTAAAATGTTCTTTTTTTTTTCCTTCCATGACTAAATATCAAGACTGGAACCTGGTTTGCTGCTTGAAGCAAAGAATTATGAAAAGAGGAAGAAATTGTAGAAATCATGTAAACAGAAGATCTTTCTGGGACAAACATGAAGTATTTTAGTTATTTTCTATTATCTGGATGTTTTTCCATCAGGTGCTGTATTTCCCTGATCGCTGGTGGCATGCGACGCTCAACCTGGACACCAGCGTTTTTATCTCCACCTTCCTCGGTTGAGTTTCTGCCCAATCAATTTTTTAATTAAAACCAAGATTCCTTTTCAAAGTTATTTAATGTGTTTTGTGACCAGAGGATCTAACAAGTGTAGTTTCAGCAGTATAGAGTTTTACTTTTTATGCAGAAAACTGATTTCTGTACTTTTTTAGATGTACACTGAAGGTTTCATAGCAAAAACACAAATCTTAGAATTAATACTCATCTGTTACTGTGGTGCTTGGTGAAGACAGATGTCTAAAAACAAAAGGAGATGTATTACTGTCATTGCTGATTGAGGACTAAACATTACAGCTTCCCAGTGTCTCAAATCACTGAAGGACGAGCACAAATGACTGACACTCAAGACATGGCAAATTTCTTTTGTCATATCATTTCTGAACATGTTTTATCCTTTATTCCATAGCAGCCAGATGCTTTTAGTTTTTCTGTGGCATGTGAAATCTGATTGTCACACTGATGTCTCAACTGAAAGTTAGTTTCCCATAAAGGTCAAACGAAAGACCCTTCAGTCTTCAATAAAGTCTACAAATGCAAGAAATTACACTTTAACTTGATTGACACATTTAAACAGCCAATTGTGGATAAAATAAACACGCACACACCTGTAATAAAACTAATAACACTGATAATGATAGATACCGTGTATATGCACTCCAGAAAGTGCAGAAAACCAGGAAAAAGAGTCAACACACAAAAAAACAAAAAAATCATGGATCCCCATAAAATCTGTTCATGAATAAAAGAACAATATAAAGACAATCTTTCGTGGTACTGAGCAGCACGTAAAACTAAAACCGGTCCTTCCACCTTCCAGCTGGTCTTTAAACGGCAAATACAGCTGTTTACTCAGTTCATACTTAAAGTGTACCAGTGGTACAGTTTTCATATACAGTGGCTTCAGGAAGTAATCACACCCACCACAGGGAAAATAAAAGCAGAAAGGATGAACTTGACCACAATCTGCCACAGTAGGGTCTGAATAAACTGATTTCAGTCTGTGATTTTTTAATAAATTTACAAGAATGTCTAAAAACATGTTTTCACTTTGTGGTTATTGAGTGTCGGTTGATGAGTAAACTGACTGCAGTTGGCAGTGTCTTGATATTCAGAGCCACAGCAAGGATGATCACAATACCTGATAATCAATACTGGGTTATTTTTAATTGAGGCAAATCAGCCATTAAACCATCAGTGACCACCCTGTGCAGCTGCTCATTCAATAGTTACTCATAAACAGTGGAAAAGTGAACACATTTAATGTCCTAAATATGAGCACTAATACAAGCATGTGATGGCATGAATAAAGGCACTGTGATATCACTTCTCTGTCCCATTCACTTCTACTGAATTAAATCCTCAGTGTAGGAGCTGTACACAGTCCTCAGACTGTGATTAAATGGTGCAGCTCATGCCTGAGGTGTTGAGCTCTCAATGGTCCCAGTAAAAACAAGCAAAATGGAAAAAATGGACCAAACAAAACAGAAACAAAAAAAAAGGACTGTTGCTCTGTCACCCGGCATTTGACTGACTTCTGAATATTTCATGATTTGTGCCATATTCAACATGAAAGCATCATCACAGCAGCTAAACTGAATCTACTGTCCACATATTTTAAAGCCTTAAAAACATATTTTGTGAGCTTCCGCTTGAAATTGGATACAAAGACCAAAATTATCAGCCAAAGTTGCAGCTGTTTTGGTTATTTCACGGCTGATTTTTTGGATCTTTGTTACAATCAAGTGGCAGTCGAAGACGGGATCTTTGTGCAAATGTTCACTTACACTAAACTGAAGTGACTTATACACTGTGGGTTCTTCAGTCATTTCTCCTTGTTATATAAATTCACCTTTCTCTCGTTACTTTGAAGCACTTTGTAACTTCAGTTTTGAAAAGTACTGCATATTTTAAATTCACTCGTGGTCACTGGAGCAAGATGATCATTAAAATGAAGTTCAGTGAGGCTTATTGTGAGAAACCACTTGATTTGTTGTGGACATCAAACTTGTCATAAACTACTTAAATGAAACCAGTGGCAGAGCGGCAGCCCTCCATGGTGACTAGTGGCTATAACTGACTGATCTGCCTTGATTCATAAACTGTTAAAATGACTTCCCCTCCCTCTTTTTACTCGTCAGTAGTCCTCCACCCATCCATTCTCCAAAATAAAAGCATCAATGACTTCCTTCATTGCCAGGTTGGGGATGAGCTGATCTTGGGTCAGCGGTGTGCGTGTCACTGGGTCAAAATGGCCGACTCGCTATAAGAGAAGAACAAATGCTTCAATGTGAGAGTTTGTCTGCTAAGAATTTTCTATTTTCACATGCAAGTTTTTTAATTCAATGTAGAGCTGAAAAGATTATTGTAGCATATTATTAGGCAGACTCGCAAAAACCTGTCTGTTACAATAACAAAATATCTGCCTCCTTCAACTTCTAAAATGTAAGGATTTGCTACTTTTCCCTGTTTCATGTCATTTTAAGTTGAAAACCTCGATATTTTACAGCTACTAGAAACAGCTTCCATTATGCTGGGATAACTTATTCTGGGGCTATTGTTGACTGAATCGATGAGCAGAAAAACTTTGAGGAGTAAGAGTACATTACAATTGAAACATATTTAGAAGGTTACAATGTGCAAAGAACCAAACTGACTGTTTATACCTTTAAACACAAAATTCTATCATGACACACAAAGTGATAAACATTCAATCACATGTTCACTCCTCAGAATACAAACTCCTCATGTCAGCACAGGTTTCAGTGCCCATTGCTGAGTGATGATGTAACAGGTACTGGGCTAGTTATAAATTTGGCCACTATGTTCATGTGGAATGACATTTATCAAAAATACAAAATACAAAACTTTAGGGGCCTTCCCTGGTAGGCTACTGGTTAAGGCACAGCGCTCTCACCGCGGTGCTCCAGGTTGTGTCAGGAAGGGCATCCGGCGTAAAAACACATGCCGAATGTCAACATGCGAGTTGATTCCCTGTATGTAAAAACACATGCCGAATGTCAACATGTGAGTCGATTCGCTGTACCCCGAAACGGGAAAAAGCCGAAAGTGACATTCATACAAAATTTTAGGACTAACCTACAAATACCCTATCCAAACGGTATGCCATGGTGGTGGCTATGAGTAAACCATTACAAAGTCACTAGAAATACACTTTTTAAAAAGAGAATAGCTCAAATGTTCAGTTGATATTTATATTCAAGCATCAAACATATCAAAAGTGTTAAAACAGACACACACATTCACTGAAGCTGAAGATAAGATAAAACAAAAAGTGTTAGATTACAGTGTTCAATTATTGGTGTCCATAAAGCAAACAACACAAAAATAAACAATTATATGCATCTATGGTCTAGATTTATTAGTTTGTATTAGTTGAAACAGATTTAGTGTCAACTGTCTGCTGTGTTGCATTGAACATTATGATGTACTCACCATGCTCATGTATTGCCTCTCCGGATACAGGTGTCTTCATGTTGTGTGCCATGTGAATTTTAACACTTTAATAGAATGTCCCTGCAATGGTTTGTTTTACGTGCAGAGCCGGGTGATGCTTTTACCTGCAGGTGCTCTTCAATGTCTTTCCGGTCATAAGTGACACCACTGGGAGTGATACATGGCTCTCTCATCAACTCAAAGCTGATCTTTCCACACAGGAAGTCTGGGATCTCGCGCTTCTGTCAAAGACACAGCAAACACAATGTGATCTCCTTTAAATATTTTTATAAATCTCTGCATTACCTCTGTTCACTTAACACCGAAAATCATTCTGAGACAAGAGAGAATGTTCATTTTGTTTCTCTGTATCTGCAAAATCACTGGAAGGCTTTTTTCTGTCAGGTGTTATTTTCTAATGCAACTGATATACAGTAACAGTTCAGTCTCTCTGTCTGTGAGGAGAATTTAGTTTACAGTCGTCAACACCAACCTTCCTGTTTTCATCGACTTGACAAAACAGCTCCTCCAAGTCTGAGAGGTACTTGTCCTGTGGGAAAACATTAGATTACAAGTAACAATAGTGAAATATGGTGCATATATTACATAAACAACACAGTCAGTGACTTAGAATCTTTAACTGAACAAAGTCATTTAAAATCCGGACTATAAGCCGCTACTTTTTTCACAAGCTTTGAACCCTGCGGCTTAAACAATGATGTGACTAATTTATGGATTTTTACGGGCTAACGAGCTTCGTGCCGCCAATACATTTAGCCTCGTAACATCAGACCAATGAAATTACTGAACAGGTCACAGTGGACCAATGAAACTTCGAATTAAATCAAATGCACTAAATTCTTCAGGCATCAGTCATTTTGCGCTTCATGCACACACCCTCATCATGGAAAACGCACGAAGAAATGCATATGATGCAGTTTTCAAGTTAAAGGCGATCGATCAGGCTGTCGAAGAAGGAAATAGAGCTGCTGCACATAAGCTTGGCATCAATGAATCGATGGTGAGACGTCGGAGACGTGTGTAAATATCTCATGTTACAACGTGGACACCTGCGGCTTATAGACAAGTGCGGCCTATATATGTACTAAATTTTTTTTCTTCTTAAATTTAGTGGGTGTGGCTTATAGTCAGGTGTGCGCAAAAATAGTCCGGATTTTACGTTAAGATAAATGTTTTGAAATGTTCACTTCTATCTCATTGTCTAGAAATTTTGTTTGTTTTGGACTAAGCTCCTCATAAAAACCTACATGCTTTGTGTGGATCGCGTTGAGATTGTGTTGAATTCTGCTGTCATCAGACTTGTCCTCTTGTTTCTGTCTGCAGCCCTCCAGTTCTCTGTTGGTTAGACCGCACGCACAGATACTCAGACACATGGATAATTCACAGAAGAAAAGTAAGACTTGAAATGAAAAATCTATTTCACAGTGATATGTATCCTTCCCTGCTGACATTGGATAGGACCTGCCTCTTTTTCTCAGCAAGGATCAGTCTGGTGAGGTAGGCGTGCAGCTCGCTCTCCTGACTGATCCTCCTCTCTTCCATGCTGTTCCACCGTTTCTTCTTTGCTATCCTCAGAGCGCTTGGAATGTCATCACCAAAGTTCAGCCGTTGCTCCTTTGCAAGGTTATAGGCTGGAAAACGGAACTATATGTTAATTTCACCTCGTCTGTTATCATATTCCTCAAAGGGTGTGTGTAGAACAGTACGAAAACTATCAAGCAGCTGGCAGAGACCAGAAATGCGTTTCTTGTGGACTTGTTTCTCCCAAGCCTGGTACCTTTTTGGACGGAACTATATGTTAATTTCACCTCGTCTGTTATCATATTCCTCAAAGGGTGTGTGTAGAACAGTACGAAAACTATCAAGCAGCTGGCAGAGACCAGAAATATGTTTCTTGTGGACTTGTTTCCCCCAAGCCTGGTACCTTTTTGCAGGTTGCCAATGGCTTCATCATAGTTCTCCATCTCCAGATGACACTGGCCCATGAAGAAATGAGCTTTGACTGATTGGCTGTCCAGCTCCAGAGCGCGTCTGCAGTCTGCCAGAGCCTTGTCATACTGATGCAGTTTCACGTAACACAGCGCTCTGTTAGTGTAGTATGCTGGGACAGAGGGGCTGTGGGTCTCACAGAGGACAAAAGACAAAACACACATACTGGAAAGGTGTACCGAGGCAACATCTTCCTTCCAGATACTGATTCCAGCACCTAAACTCAATACCATATGAAAAATGTTTGTATTTTTCATTATGCTTCTTTCATCGGTTGTTTTACAGTGCCTTAGATTTTTGAGATTTAGATTTTGTTACCTATATACAGTATCTGCGTTATATTTAATTTATATTGTGTGGCATTCGCGTGGATGGCAAAGTAAGAATTTTTAAACAAGGAAACACAAGGAAACACGTTTGTACAAGGAAATACGTTTCCTCACTGTGCATATGACAAACACTTGAACTTGAATTTAAAATCTGTATGCTTCACTGCATGGAACCATGTAGGGTAACAGGTTGCTGTGGCAGTTAAATGCTGACAGTCACTTTTCTTTTATCAAACCTCTCAGTCCACTTTGTCTCCTTGTACTCTACATTTAACCAAATAACCACACTATACAACCTTTAAGTACAACACAAAGGTTTTTAAAAAAAGATATTTTTAGAGATATCTTTAGGATGAAAACATGGATGTTGTAATTAGACACTGCTGCTGCAGACCCAGTACACCTGCTTCTTACTATGGCTTTGCTGTAGCAGGCAGCAGCCTCCAGGTACTTGCGGTTCAGAAAGAGGCGGTTTCCCTGCTCCTTCAGCTCCTGAGCCGACAACAAAGCGCTTTTTTCTGGACTATCGGAGTCCATCGGGCTGGCTGCACTGCTGGCAGCTGCCTCTTCACTCTGCTTCCCTATTCTGACATGCAGATCCAACAGACAAGATGGAAACTGAGAGAAAAAGACCAGAAATAAATTGTGATGCGATAACAAATACAACAAGAAGGGTCACATAGTACAAACGGGAAAACAGTAAATAGTTATATCTCATTAGAAGTCTGAGAAAATAATCCTGTGATTTCTCTCATGTTATCTTGGACTGGCCTTGCCACTTTGACCCAGTCTTAAATCTTCCTTTTGCATCCACTCCTAAGTCACTGACCTCCCCCGTGTGTTCCATCTATCAAAGAAACGACAATTCCCTCTATCTGACAACACAAAATGTAGTCACTGTGTGTTAAGGTCCTGGATCATGGCTTTATCGTACCTGTTTTTTTGCGTTTAAGTGTTATTCAGTCTTATTATGTTGCCTATCACTACTAACACGGGCATAGCTCATAACAGACTGAAACAACTCGCACTTAACCGCGTCCTAACTTATATGAATCAATGTTAAGCTAACATCAGCTACGGCTCCTCTGTTTCATTCCAATTTTCTATATAATTTCTAATTTTGTCGTATATTTCCGTGCAGTACAGTATGTAGCATCTTTTTTTACAGCCAGACTGGCAGCCATTATGAAGTTAACCAACCACGGTAATAACATTACACTATTGCCGAACGCAGAGAGCGTTAACTTTCATACATATAACATTAAGATAACTAGCGCTACATATTTCATCATTATATTTACATACCCGGAGTTGATGTTTGATAAAGTTCCTGAGTGTGAAGAGCTGATGTATTCTGTAAAGTCGGTGTTGCTAAGACTACAAAAGACGAGCAGTTTTAATATATTTTAGTTAGGCTGCTAGCTACTGTAACAAGTGCTAGCTCGGCAAACAGATGTTTTGATTATGTTTGTGACGTAGAACGTCATTAGGATACACCTTAGGATTCTTGGGAGTCTTCTTCTTTTTCAGCTTCTTCTTCTGGCGGATTGCGAACCAACGAACAAGGCGCATATCGCCCCCTACTGTATCGGAGTGTGTAGAGTCGTTGCATTGAATTACTTGAATTCCAGGATCGGCGTAAAAACAAACAAACAAAGCCAATATCCTATTTACTAATCCTGTCTTAATAATGAATCCAACTAATGCCTTTCTAATCACCCTAAATAAATACTCTCTCTGTGCCCAATAATGATTTTATGGGAGAAATGTCCAACTTGAAGCTTCAGTTTTATTTTGAAAAAAGTTTAATTATTGAAACGCGTTTTATTATAGAAAATCATATCATGAAAAAATATTTATTATGGGAAAAATATTTATCATAGGAAAAACATTAGGCTTATAGAAAAACTGAAAATGAAAGAGACCAAGACTAAAACAAAGAATACAATGGTAAGTAAATTTCAGTGAAGAAATATGACCAACATAAAGTTGGATGCAAAGTTGTATGGGCATAAATCCAGTGTTTTTCTTGTTTTTAATAGTATAATATTGTTTTAATGGACTGCTTGGAATCAAGTGTAACATAAGGTTAAAAAGTAAAGTTGGAGAATTTAGAACTATGCATAGCCTATATGTTTTTTGTAATATCAGTAAAGCATAATAATATAGTACTCACTGGCTCCATGTAGACAAATATATTATAAAAAAAACATAAGAAAGTCAGCCAAGAAAAAGCAATATACTGTACACTTTGTTTCAAAACAATACATTTCTGTCCTGTTTGCCATATTGTACTTGAAATGTAAATTGGAGAAAAGTGTAGTCTCTACAGCTTGGGATTTTCATATCTCATAAAAATATTCTTTAAATTTGATTCATATATTTTGTACCATACAATTTTCCTTCAGTGGTTCAAAAATAAAAATCATATTTATGTTTGATGTTTTATTTCTGTAAACAGGAATAACTGAAACCCTTTTTATTTAGAGCCTGCAGATAAACTTTGGAAATGCATTTTTAACTTTGTAGTTAAAAATATAATGCAAATCTTTTCCTTTAAAAATATTTCTAGCTATGAAATCACAACACAACTTTTTCCTTCGTGAATTTATTTGTATTATGGTAAAATTTTATATTCATACATGTACATTTGCTAATAAAAATGAATATCCTTGCCACAGTTCACCCTTTTTTAACTCCTTTTCAAGTCACAAGTCGGTGACGTGAGTTTAGCTGCTCTGTACGGTCTAAAGATTTCATAGAACAAAGAAACATAGGAAGAGGTGGAACAGGAGGTTCAAACATGGCCCAAAATTCCTAAGTAGCTTGATTAGGCCCTGTCCAGTGCTGAGCAGTGTGCCTGTGTAAACCTACATACCACAGTATATGAAACCTTAATGTAAAAAAAAATAAAATAAAAATCAAATATTACACAATCATCACAAAACTCATAAAGTTCTATCTTAATTCCACAAATAGATCAGCCACAGATAAGGAGCTCTGTGTGTTATAAGTGATGAAACCTCTTAACAGTTTTCAAACATTTGCATAGTTTTTATGTTCTTTCTAGCAATACAATGGTTTGGAATACATGAGCATATTTTAAACCATCTCCTTAAAAATAAAACACCACAAGAATGCAGCATAGTTTAAAGTTTATAAAGTGCTAATGCAATCACACAGCAACTCTTTGCTATAGCTCTAAACTAAAACAATTTGTTTAATAGACTGCAGTATGACTGAGTATTACTGAGGTGACTAAACACTGTGTTGCCTTTTTTTTTTACCTTTACCTAGAAATTCCAGACACAACTAATAACTTCTGTTTAACTACCAGTGCAATTGAGACAGTTTGTACCTGAAGACCATCCAGTGATCTGACATGTAATCTATAAAGTGCATCATGTGTTTGCTAAAACACTTTTCTGTCTTTGTGAAGAGATGTGCAGCTGCTGGATTGGATTAGACATTACTTGGGAGGCAGGCCTGTTCACTTGTCAACTTAAAGGGCCATAACTGTTACTGCATGGTTGTCTTTCTCTCCTTCTTGTTCTTTAATGTTTTATTCAACAAGTGAGATTATTCCTGGTTCTGATTGGCTTGGGTTGTGAAAAACATTTTTATAATTCATTCATTCATTCATTCATTTTCTACCGCTTAGTCCCTGAACGGGGTCACGGCATTTTTATAATTGAAACAGCAATCAGTCACTTGTCTATCTGTTCACTAAATATGATGCTCTCTTGTAAAAAGTCCAACATTTTTGGGAAATAAACTTGTTTTCCATTAACAGGCATAAGTCCCAAAATGTCGAACTGTTCCTTCAGAGAATGGTTCTCCCTGTTCAGATGTCCTGATCCCAGTTCTAGTGAACAAAACAGATTTGTCACCTGGTCCCTCCCAGTTTCCCCAAATGGTTGTGCAGCTCCCAGTCAGGCAGTCAGAGGGGTCGAGGCTGATGCAGGCCTGCAGTCTCTGGGCTCAAAGCAGGACTGTGTGTTGCCTTTGAGGGGCTCCAGTTCCCCAGAGAAGCCTGGATGGTCTTACGGTGAGCCAGTCTGTGTGTAATGGAGAATCCAGCATTTCCCTCCAGCTGAGACAAAACCACAAGCACTTGTCTGGGAGAGAAGAAACAAAACCTCATTCATTCCTCGGCTGATACAGATCCAGATGTCAAACTGCTGGTTTCTGTTAAGGTTTTATTTGAAACAATGTAAACATCAACTGTTTCTTAAATAATAGTTTGCTGTCAGTAATTTTATCTCAAACTAATTTATTAATGAGCAGTTGTTTTCAGCAGTGTCGTGTGCTGCAGTGAACCTGTGCAGAGGCGGGATGCTGTCGATGGTTTTGAGGCTGCAGCGTGTTGACACCACATTGAAGCTGTCGCTGCAGTCACAGGACACGTGCAGGTGGTGTCTGGGGTGTCTGTTTTCCACCATGACGATGAGCCCCGCCCAGCCGTGTGTCAGGTAGTAACATGTCATCCCCTCCCGACCCTGACACACACACAAATACACACACACACACACACACACACACACACACAGCAGCTCAGTGCTCACCTTTGAAATCTTATGTTCAGTACAGAGGTCAAAACAGGAAAAGTCGCTGATTTCATGTCCTGTAGACACGTTCATTGTGCTGTTACCATTGGTTTTGTGTGCTTGCCAGCAAAATTGTAAAATAAAAGGCTGAGTACTGGGGTGCAAATGTAAGCTGATCCATTTCTAAGAACATATGTTGTCAGTTTACTGTAAACAGTCTGAAGTGCTGATATCTGAGTATCATATACAGTGTGGATAAAATGTAGATTTATGACTTGGTCACATTAAAACCCAGACTGAATGGATGCAGCATCACCTCATGTCTCTCTCCTTTGGTTTCTGTCAGCTGAATGATGGCGTCGGCGATGGTTGTGTAGGAGGCTGGTACTTGCTCCACCATCACCAGCCTGGAGCTGTAGATGGCCAGCATGTAACCTGGAGCCTCTGATCTGCCACAGTTCGCTGAAAACACACAACAGTGGCTTAGAAACAGATTAAGAGATAACATTCAATATTAAATATATGTCAGCTCTAGGCATTTCACAGATATACAGTATTTCTTTCATTATTATTTTTACTTTATGTGCAACTTTATTTTTTTACAGTTTTTTTCCTAAAGAATTCACATATTGAGCGATGAGTGGTAAAGTTTGGTGTGAAGTTTTACTGTGTATATTTTTCAAATCTGTTTTGAATTTAAAAAACTTTAAAAAAAAAATCCAGCCTCATCATTGAAAAAGAGCCTGCTGTTAGTTACTTGTTACCTACCTGTCCCCTGTGTGGTGCTGCGCCAGTGGTTAAAAGCGCAGCAGAGCACAGCGTACTCGCCTGGCTCCAGCATGACATCACAGCCCACAAACCTCCTCACCGAGCGCCGGCTGTGAGCCAGCAGACGACCCAGCGTCAGAGCCCCGGCGCTGTCGTAGGCCACCCGAAAGACCAGCACGCACAAATCCAACAGGTGGCTCTCTGCTGTGTCCCATCGTCTGAAGACACACAGGAGACAGGGTAAATATTAGGATGTAGAATTTTAGTCTATAAATGATACAAGCTCATTCTTTTGTTGCCTTGCGTATCCAGAAAGAAGCTGATAGAACACAACTCTTTATAAATTACTTTCTGGACTAAATCCACTGAAGAACTGTGGCAACTTGCGCATTTTGTATTCTTCATTGATTTTGCCATATTTGGAGTATGGCGTTGAAAACTGGGGAAATACATACAGGAGTTCACTTCAACCATTGTACATATTACAGAAGAGAGCGATAAGAGTTGTACACAAGATGGGGTATAGGGATCACACAAATGTAGTTTTCATACAGTCTAAATTGTTAAAATTCTTTGATTTAGTGGAATATAAGAC